CGCTCAATATGCCACAGCATCCAAAAAGTTACCCCGTTGCGACATAATGTATAACCTTCTTTTAATGTAATAAATGTGCTAGTCCCAAGAGCAACATATTTTCCGCACGACAGGAAATACGCATCCAAATGGACAACCATTCGATTCGGGCATTCGCAATTGTCGGACGGACGCACTGGCCACGTCCTTGCACTCGCAGCGGAAGTGCTTTTAATTAGGCCATGAAAGCAATGTGGCCAACAATGGCCACGAGTACACATATTTAATTAAAGCTTTGTGAATTAGTTTCCAATGCATGTGGCTGACAGACAGACGAACGGACAGACGGACAGACGGACAGACGGACAGACTGTAGAAAACTCAGCGCAGCTTCAATTGCCTCAGGGCAATTTGCTACAGCTGCGACACGTTCTGCAGCTCGAGAGAAACTTTTTTATGTTTCTCTTGTATTCCATCAATTTTCCTTTTGGCATCGCTTATTAAATGCGTCTCACAGTTATGAGTAAACTTTGCCGAGGCACATTACAGCGTACAGCTGACGATGACATCATCATTAGCCAGCTCTCAAATCTATTATACCCTGTACTTTAAAGCCAGAAGTTGAGGTATTGTTCAGATTGCCTGACCTAAGACTTAACCTTGAGGCCTAGGGAGTTCATTTCATTTCGTTTCACTCGGCCATTGACAGCAGCGAATGTCCCAAGAGCCACTTAAAGCGACAGCCTTGACTCTTTAAGCCAACGCTGAAAAGTAGGCTATAAATTTTAAAGACAATGACTGGCCCCGGCAAAAGCGGGGGCAATAACAGCAAAGTGGCACAACGCAACGAGTCGCGCCAAATGTAAATCTCAACCAGCCAAACAGTTTAAGCTAGTCGGCTTGCTCTCCCACTCACCCAATCCCCCTCTCTGTCGCTCTGTCTCTCTCTTTCGGTAAGTTACTTAGAAGATGTTGGGCAACCTTTTCTGGACATTTCTTGCTAATGCGCTCATTATAAATACATGATAAGCAGCGGCGTTTGCCCAGAGTTGCCGCGCAACAGAATGAAATGTCACAGAGCGGGCGACCAGACTTTACTTTAGCTCGCACGAGAGGAATAGAAGAAAGAATAGAACAACAACAATGACAACAACGACAACGACAGCAGAATCGTCATCATAATAACTTTGTTGACTGCCTTTTTAGGCCAACAATCCCCACATTTCGCCCACTCACAACAGTCTTGACTGTCGAACCGTAGCCCAAACGAAAGCAAAGCGAAAAGCGAAAATAAAAGTGGAACCCTTGGCCTTTTGTTTAGGGGCTAAGATACTTTCGCTGTTGCCTTCACATTCATTCAGCTTGTGGATTTTGGTTATGTTTCAGGTGGAGGCGTGGCAAGGGGCGGCAGCAGCGCCTGTAGGTTATTCCGGCTGCACCACCCTGAAACCGCAGAGTCATAAGCCCATTAGCCTCGCCGGGCATTGTTTTATGTATCTAGCTAAACCTGCTCAATGTGCCACAGTTGCTCACCTCTCGGCCCATACCTGATATTGCCCCGTTTGCTCTGCTGATGTGGAAAATGAGCAAGAAAATAGAAACGCCTACATACAGAAAGAGAGAGAGAGAGAGAGAGCCAAACAAGGACAACGAAGTCGACAAGGTCTTGTTAGTTAAATTATGCATAAATGCGGCAACATGAGTGGGCGTGTCCTACACACCTGCCCGCGCCAATAGCACAATAGTTTGCCAACTGCACACGTTTGCTGCAAATGGAATTGCGTACGGCACGTGTGCCACAATTTTATAGGGGCAAATCTTTAATGGCAAGCAAACAAAACTAATGAGCGCAGGAGGAAAACATGTGCCAAGGAAATTCATAACATGAATGCAAATGTTGCACACGCCAACCAGCAAATGGCAAACAGACACAAAAATCACCACAATTTTGAGGGCAAGCGACAAACAGACAGACAGACAGACGGACAGACAGACAGTCAGACGGACGCATTTAATGACAGCAAGCAAAAACAGTTGCCAGTGAAGCGAACAGATAAGCAATAACAAGTACGGTCATTTAGGCAAATCAAATCAAATAGCCAAACAATTGCCTGTAATAATAGATGCAATCTAAACAAGACAATTAACAATAATTAAACAATGAACAGCTCAACTGATTTTGCATTTAAATATAATTCAAACAATGCTTCAACTATTTAATGTAGAATTAATAAATAATTAATTTCTAATTTTTAGGTAAATATTTCTTTGGAAATATATACATAGAAATTTTATTTTTAATTATTTATTTGTAAATTGATGTATTGCAATTTAATTCAATGCTTCGTTCAATAATTGGTTCTAACATTAATTTATAAATAATTTAAGGAAATGTATTTAAAATAAAAATATATATTATATAATTTTTTTTTTTTTTTTTTTTTGTTAAAAATATAATTATTTTTTATTTTGCTTGTATTTAAATACTCGTAACCTTTTTTATTTGATACAAAAAAATAAATAAATAAAAAAAACTAAATAAATAAATAAAAAAGCACGAAAAAATAATTTTTATTCACTAATTTTTTTGTCGATGAAAATATATATTAATTTTATAGTTGCTCTCGGCTGCTATTGAAAATTTATAATTGTATATTTACAATATATTATCTACTATATTTGTTTTTATTTTCTTATGTTGAATAATAATATAATTTGTAGCTTTAGAGCACATTAAATTTGTGTAAATTTTTATCTATTTTATGTCAGTGCTTAAAATTAATTTAATTACATAAATGGTTTGGTACAAAAACAAAAAAATTACTCATACGTCGCTTGAGCCGTGGCTAAATTGATAGTCCAATCAATATTTAACGTTTTTTCAGAGCATTAAAAAATACAATATAATTTACGTTATTTTTTACGCTAATTGCTTGGTAATAAATATTATACTTTACACATGAGCCATAACCCAAATGATATAATGGTGCAGATAATGGCACGCTTACGTTTTTATTTGAGCATTAAAAGTACTTTTTTTTCTTTTTAGTTTTAAATCGGATTTAGCTTCACTATAAATATATTCCATTTTGTTATGCGCAAATCGTTCGCCAATAAATATTATTTTTTCATAAATAAAAATATAAATTGCATACGACGCGTGAGCCATGGACCAAAGCGAGAAACGAAATAAATGTGGATGTCGGGGTAAATGCAAAGTAAACAATTCACGCACTAAATTGAAATGCAAAGCATGTGCCACGCAGTCTGTCTGTGCGAATACTTTTATCTGCGCACTGTAACGAACGACTGTGTCATTCCTTAAGCCCCTCGCCCGCCCCGCCACCCCGCCGCTCAATAAATAAATTCTTGCGAATTTCTCCAGCCAAAAAATGAAAAGAAGCGAAGAAAAGCAAATGGAAACGTGGCAAGCAAAAGTGCACGAAATTTGGTCTTGAGCGAAAATAAGGAAAATAAATGGCCAGACAGGCGAACAGACAGACAAGCAGAGAGACAAGCTGAAAGACAGATAGACAGACGGAACGACAGAACGAATGGGAGCAAAGACAAATGCAAACGACAGGGCAGCCATTTTTATACCGATAAAGGATAAGTGTATTACAACAACAACAACAGTAAGAAGAAGAAGAAGAAGACTTAAATGCAGACAAACCGTGAGCAGGGTATATCCGATACCTTTTACACTTTACGTTTGCACGCTGAACATTTTTAATGTCCATCTGCGTGCAGATTAGCATAAAAGCCGCCGTCACACTCCGCTCCACTCCACTCCGCCCGAGTCGGACCGGACCGGACCATTCGCATCCGGAGCGTAGCGTCCGTGGCGACCCTCTGCCATTGAAGCGTGCCTCATTTTATGTCTGCTTAGCTCTAAGCACGCTGACATTATGCAATTTCTGAAATGGCTTGATTCCTGTTCTATATCAGGCGTTGCGGAGGGGGGCTGCGGACACAGCTTACATCTTTTATGTTACTCAACGAACCGAATTTAGCTAGGATTAAGCGAGGTGTACAAGTAGTTATGGAACATGAAGATATGCAACTATGTGAAGTGAGATTCTCATTCTATTGAGCTAGGGCCATAAAGACTCACATTGTTATGTGAAAGTGAATGAAAGTTTATTGTCTATGCACACAAAGGACTTTAAAAGGGGCAGACTTACAGAGCGGAATATGGCTGGGCAGACTCAATCTTTATGTTGAGCAAATGTTCATAGTAATATATGTATATACATATCTATAAAACAAGATTTTAATATATGATATTTTTTAATTCATTTTCATTTTAAAGTGAAATTTAGAAGACTTACTTAAGTTACCTTTGTGGTTTGAAAGTTCATTTTTACATCTGAAATTAGAATTAGAGTCTAAGATATTTTAAGCGAATTTGCTATAGAATTGGCCTGTACTTACGGTATTTTTAATTTGTTAAATTCTGAAATTGCAAGCTTGTTTCTCCAAATGTGAATGCCTCGAAACACATATACATATTATATTTGTATATATGTATCGAAATAAACTCAGTTGGTGCTTTACTTGTATAAATATACCAGCCAATAATCCTTTGTATAAAAATAGTATTATAATATTTCTGAAGTAAAATATAAAAATATTATTAAATAAAAGTAAATTAATAATATGTTGAATATTATTAAAAAAAACATTTCCAGAATAGGAAAGTATATATAAATATATAATAATAAAAAAAAATATATAATACCAATGATAATGATAATAATACAAATATATTTAAAAACTAATAATAATAATGAATTTTGTAATTAATAATTCAAATATATATGTATATTAATTCAGGAAAAAATCTTAATAATAAATCAATTCTTATTCTTAGGAAATATTAAACATTTAATCTAACTAACATTTCAGTTCAAACTATTCAAATATTTTAATTAATATAAAATATATTTATTATATTTCCCACCATAAAATAGTTTCGCCAACTAATTACAAATTTTCAATTTCCATTCATTTCCTTACAGAATGCGCTCCTTTATTGAGGAGAATGAAAAGAATGATCCATTGATTAATGCGCCCGATAAGAAGAACAATCCGTGGGCTGAAAAGGGCAAGTGTATCATCATGTAATATTATCGCAAACCACAGAAATACCGTAATGATGAACATCCAACCAGCAACAACAGTAACAACAACAACAACAACAACAACAACAGCATAAAAATCAATTCAGCAACAACAACAACAACAACAGCATCAAATCAATATGAAAACAAAGTGAATAACGATGATAACAATTTAGCGAGCAATCCATGTAGCGGCCAAGTTGGCAATTCCCTAGATCTAGAACCGGTAGAGCTGCAGCATTACAACAACAACTATTACTATTACTACAATTACAATCTGAGCTATGCCCCGCCGCCCGTAGCCGCCGCCCACGCCTGCCTCCTGGGCGGCCCCAAGTCGCGGCTGCAGCAGCTGAAGCGTCGCACACGTCACGAACTGCAACAGTGGCCGCTGCTCATGCAGCTGGTGGTGCTGCTCGTCTGGCTGCACGCCAAGTTCTGGCAGATTGTGCGCGAGCAGATACTGATGCAACGCCGGCGCTGGCACTGAACGAGGAGGATGGAGTCAACTGGCGTGGCTGGAGCAGCTGGAGCAGCTGGAGCAGCTGGAGCTGCAGCTAAGTGGAGTGAAGTGGAGTGGAGTAGAGTAGAGGGGAGTGGTGGGAGTGCGGGGCAGCTTGTTTTTTTGGTATGCCGTCAGAATCTATGCTTAAGTTCATAATTATTCCACACTTTCAAACTCAATCTTAAATAAATATATGAATATATAATCCCAATATGCTGCATACTCGAACAAACAACCAAAAACCAACTACAACTACAACAACAACAACAACAACAGTAACAACAACAACAACATGTTTGAGCTCTATTCAACTCAACATCTATCGTATGCGCTTTCATCGTTGTCGACTCTATTATCTCTCTTCTTCTTCTTCTTCTTCTTCTTCTTCTCTCTATCTCTCTCTTATTTCGCTCTGTCTGTCTCTAATCGCATCGCATCGCATAGCTCGCTCTCGTCGTTTATCTACTCGTTGCTCGCTGTTCGTTCATCTCTACGTTCCTTTCTAGCGTCTATCGTCTGTAGTCGTTCTTAGATCTTTCAGTTGAAGCATGCATAACCACATCCATTTGTAGTGCCTATGTTCTGGTTTATTGTTATTATTTTGTTGACTGCATCGTCATCGTCATCATCATAGATCATCTCAGTCCCAAAACATGCCACACACTAGTTGACAGCGCTAACCGATCATATCGTATGCCAGATACAGAGTAAAGCTCTTCTACATGTTAAGCCCCGATAACTGTAACCCACCCACACCATACTCTATGTAGTCGAAACCGAAACCAAACTCTTAAAGCAACAAGTTTTTTGGTAACCCTAGATGCTAATATTTTAAAGTATTTTATTTAATCCGAAATGCCTCAGAAAATTCCAAATCCCAGCTATATTTTAGTGGGCAGCGAACTTTATAAACTTTACTGGGTTTGTCGTTTGGCTGGTCCAAGAGGGTGTTGGTGGCAATCAGCTGCGGAATGTGGGCATGAAACAATTGATCTTGCTGTTTCATTCCCAACGTTCCTCAGCGCATGCAGCTCTTAGGCTGTCCCAAACGAAACGAACATATTTTTTAATAAGTTTTTAAATTGAACCCAGGCTGCTAAATACGAAAAGCGCCACGGGCTGGAATGTGGGAATGAAACAATTGATCTTGCTGTTTCACTCCCAACGTTGCAGCCCTGTGCCGCACTTCAAAGTTTGCCAAACGAGAAACATTTATAAACGATTTTGAGATAAGTTTTTGACAAGCTGCTAAAACGAATGAAAAAAAAATGAAAGATGAAAAATAAAAAACAAAAAACCTATGAAAAAAAAAAAAAACACTTAGTTCCGATCTAGTAATGCATTTTACATCAATACTTTATGTACTTAGTGAAACGAAACGAAACAAAACAAAAGTATTTTGTGTAGAACTTTCAGTTGAATTTATTTTTTAGCAAATGCAAAGGCAAACGCAAACCGTTAGAAAATTTTACGCATGTTTTTCTATTAAGCATATAACTTATATATTATATAATATGATACTTATATGGAATACGAATATGATTTGATATACAATATATATATATATATATACACATATATATTAACATATATGTTTAGGCAAACGAAACAAACTATTTAAACGAAAGGCAGACGCTGTAGTTACTCGATGATAATATTTATTTAGTTCTAATGCTATGTTTAACAGATATTATTATATACGCAGACCACAAGAAAACACTGACAAAACACATATACACATATACAATTGATAACGATTAATCGTAGTGCGATAAATACATAGTTGAAAATAGAAATACATAGAGAAAAGCGAAATCAAATATTTTAGAGAAGCAGTCGAGAAAATCGTCAGCGAAGTCAGCTTCAAACTTACATTTATATATACGATGTATATATATATATATATATGATGTATATATATACATATATATAGTAAAACCGACGCTGAAACTAAAGCGCTGTTCAACTGTTTGAAACAAGTATCTAAATATATATATATATATATATATATATATATATATATATATATACATATATACTAACAGTTCTTGAAATGGGTTTACGTTTAATAAAATGCTAAGTTTTTGCCTATGATTTCGATTAAACATTAATTAGTGCTATAATTTGTAGCAGAAGGTTAAAAGACAACAGCAACAAAAAACACGTTTACGCTACACTACACAAAATACTACACTCGAAAAAGAAATGAGGTTACCAAAACAAAAACTAAATACACACACACAAAAAAAAAAGCAAGAAAAAATTCAATGAAAAGCAAAAGAACAAACATAAAAACTCTTGCTAAAAAAAACTAAATATTTAACAGTTAATGTAGCGGCAACAAAGCACATTTGACTTTAAGATGCAACAAACAAAAGTAGAAAATTGAGGAGAGAAGAGCGTACATTTAATTAAAAATAAGTCGCGCAAAACAACAACTAAGCCCAAGGGCATGCAAACAAAAAAAAAAAAAAAAACCCAAAACATAAAACTTACAAAACTTAACGAAAAAAACTTAATAATAAGCGCAGCAGAACTACAACCAAAGTTATTTGAGTAAAGCAGAAACGTAGAAGGAGTAGCTGAGGTACTACGAAACAATAAATAGATCAACGGCCTGCCTGAACAAGGAACGCTAGAAAACGGAACAGCGGAATGGAGCTAAGTTATGCCACCCGATAACCGATAGAACCGATCAAACAAACAAAAAAAAAAAAAAAAAACATAGCAGTAAGCAAAGTTGGATAAACGTAGTGCAACGTAATATATATTATAAACAAGGTCTAGGGAATTCATATACATACACAAAGCAAGACAACAACATTACCAGAACCATTTCGGCATTGAAACGCATGAAATGGAACAGCACAAGCCGTAGCAGCCAGCTACAAGGCGTTCAAGCAAACCACAAAACACATAAATTAATTAGGGTATTGGTGGTTACTAAAATGAAAAACAAAACCAAAGAACAACAAGAACAACAACAATTATATAAAGTTACGAATTGAAAATCGAAACGTTTCGCCAGCGGAACTATGGAATAGTATAATCAAAAGAGTAGAGCCGAAGCAAAGCGTGCGGATAATCGTTCCTTTGCCTAGGCTCGCAGGCATGAAAACGTTTTTCTGGGCATTTGCCACACGCAGCGTTGCCAGACAGCGTCGTGTGCCGAATGCCAAGCGTTCCGTGCCTGACCAACAGTGGTAATCAAAGCAAAAAGTTCAAGCTAAATTATATAAATGTCTTAGTCTAAGCATAGGTGTCTATTGCTTTAAGCACTTCGATTGTGCCACAGCGCGAGCCTGGACAAACGGATTCCTGAAAGAGTATTTTCCCGATGGTTTCCACGAGCCCGGCGTTGCCAGCTCGACGCTCAAGAGCGCATTAAGCACGCCGAGTAGCCAGGCATGGAGTCCCGGCGAAACGGGTGCGAGGGTGTCACGAAAATTGAGCGAGGCTGGCGTACGCCGAGGGCCGAGAGAAGTTTCTAACAGTTGCAACATTTGAGAAGTCTCCCAATGCAATCGTCATACATTCGATACCGTTGGCCAGACTCTAGCTGTGGCATAAGGTTTGCTCAAAGTACACGCCCCAAAAACCACAAAAATTATTAATCGATAAATGTGTTAATCGTTTTTTCATTAGCAAAACTTCAATTCAGAAAAATTTAATGTTGAGGGTCATATGAGATGTGAAAAGTTAATGGAAAGTTAAATAAACAATATAATATATATATGGAATATACATTTTAGTGATTTTTCTCAAGTTCTAACAATATATATAAAATATATACGACAATTTATAAATGTTACAATTAACAAGCATATATTTAATATACACAAATATATTAACGTATATATATATATATATTCAGATATTTCAACAACAGTTAATAGCATTACATAACTACTCATGATTTGATGAAGAAATGTGCATGTTATATAACAACAAAAACAAAAACAACAACACTCAATTAATCTAGCTACTAAGTGAAAACCGATGGCAGTGTTGGTAAACGACACAAGCACAGCATGTGCCAAAAACATTTGGTGCGCCAGTGTCAAAGCGAAAGAATATATAAATATTATTATAATTATGATTATTATAACTACAAAATATTCTATACTTTCATAGAAATCGATTCTCTAGCACGTAAGTTGATGTTAAAGTTCATTCCAATAAAACGTTTAAAACTCAATATAAGAACATATTTACTATATGGACATTACCACAATTATATAACGAAATATTACCAGACGAACAAACAAATTTAAAAATGTATTGCTTAAATGTGTGTAAAAGTTACCGAAAAAGAAATAACACAAAAAAAAGAAAAAAAAAAAAATTAAAATAAATATAAAAAATTTATTGTTACAATTTAGGGTATTAAGTCACGTAACTATTAAGATATATGGACATATAGATTACGTAAGCCTAATTTTAGAGAAAATGATTGATTCTTAAACTTGTCGAAATGCGAACTCGAAGGACAAAACAAACAACACGGTGCCGCACAACAGCCCTGGCTAAACCAGAAACCAAACAACAAAACAATTATAATTTAGAACAAATATAAAAAATACG